ATTATTTGCTGCACAATTTATAAAGTTTGCATGTTACTTGTGGTAAATCAGAGTGTGTAAGCAGATTGCAATCTACTGTCAAATAAACAATGTCCCCTTTTTAGCAACATCGTCATCACCCAACAGAACATTAATCATCCTACTCCCACAGATAATACTTCTACATACACTCTACTCTTCTCTTACTTCCAAAGAACACATGCAAGGAGGTGTTGTGGCTAGCACATTCCTCCCCGTTTGGCCGACGACTGCCGCCTGTTGTTCTCCTAGGCAATCATACACCCACACTGAAACTGGACGGAATAACACTGTAAAACTTGAGGGACGACTGAGACCAATGCGTGAGGATTATATGACCAAAGATGTGGTAGAACAAAAAAGTGTCTCTATGTAGTTGGGATGGACGAACTAAAAATTCTGGCCCCCCTCTCTTCTTTGTAGATAGGAAAGTTTTCAATGTAAAAAATAATATTTTGTGGTGAGAGAGTGGGGGGAATGTTGATATATAAAGCGTAAATAAATAAATAATGAGTTTGTATATTATATAATAAGAGTGATTTATTGTATACATGCACACAAGAAAAACGTATGTTTAAGATAAAGTGTTGTATAAATTAATTTATTATTTATTTATTATTATTATTTATTATTCTTAATATATTTTTTATTTATATGGTTGTTTATTTGTATAGAAACAAGCGGCTATCTCCAAATTTAGGTCAGTGCTTATCACAATGCTCACAACACATTTGTGTTATCAGTCAATCACTATTATAATGAGTAGCAATTATATGCACGTTGATAGAGATGTAACTCAAAAGCCGAACATCTATCTAATCTATTTACTAATATGTAACAATTTTATCGATACCTATCTTACTAATACACACTATCATTACTTTTATATACCTATTCATTCTCATTAACTGTATGGGAAGAAAATGGGAAAATGGGATGAAAGGAAAAGGGGATGAGGGAAATGAACGGGGAAATGAACGGGGAAGTGTGGACGGGGAAGTGTGGACGGGGGAGAGAGGAGAGGAAGGGCGTTGATACTAATGGTGATGCTGCCGATGATGCCGATTATGACGATGACGGCGATGATGATCGTTATGGCGATGAAGACGGCTGTTATCATTATCCTTATTATAACAGGGCAGCGGCAGCGAGCAGCGAGCAGCAGCAGCAGCAGTAGTAGTAGTAGTAATAGTTTTAGTTGTTACTGTTCTTGCTCTCTAGTCGTCATTGTCGTTGTCATTGTTGCTATTGTGCCGTCATGGTCATTTTTTTCATATCCATCTACATCTACATTCATACGATCGAGTCGAAGCTAACATAATAATGTTAGAACAAAACGATGAGAGAGTAATTGTAGATTTAACGCAACATGTCATCCACTAAGCTCTGTCAGTTTTGTCATACCAAAAATTTGCACATGCAAATCAACGCATTAAATCACTCAGGTTCTTGTGAATATAATGTGATTAATAAATTTTGTGGAATTCCCCTTGTTTTTCCTGCAAGAGGAAATTTATGTCAAATAATTTCGTCATAGTAGAAAAATTTATTCGAGAGTTGGCCTAAGCGCTTTACCCAACTGGTCCTCTCTAACTTTATCCAGGAATCATTTTCACCTCGCCCAATCAGTTTGTCGGCGACGAACAATGGTCCCAGTTTGAGACATTCACTGTATAGAAAAGCAGAAGTAATATAACCTAATAAGAGCCATACTCCTATTCTGGGTGTATGCAACGGCCGTGGCTAGTGACAATGGTCCCTGCTATGGTCACTGCTATGGCCATTGCTATGGCCACTGCTACGGTCACTGCTACGGTCATTGTATATCTAGCTACGGCAGCAGCAGCTATACTGCTTACAGCCACAGCAGATTACAGCTACGGCAGCTGCTATAGCTACGGCGAAAGCATAAAGTTCCCGCGCAGCATGCTTGCAGGCGCGATTGTTCTACGTTAATGTAATTAGGCGTTGTATCAGGTTTTCCCGTTATATCAATATCTCTTTCAATAATCTTTGTGCACATCCATCTTCATTTTCGGTATCTAAATTAGGCAATCTGTTGTTATTTCCTCAGATGGTGCGTATATCCGACACTGCCTCCCCATATCTCTTATCCTTTTCTTTTTGCGCTCGCTGTTCTGTTCAGTTCAGTTCGACAACCTGGGTGATGATTCGCAGTTTTACTTTATAATAATGAGCAATTCGACCCCATCCATCGAAGAGAGTCTTTTGGGAAGGGTATATTTTTGTCGGTTAATTGCTAGATGATCGGCGTAATTGTCGTTATACACCACATCAATCGGAGATGCGTGTATCAGGTTGGCAACACGTTTACGGCTAAAATAGGCGTGAAAGACTATTAAATAAGCATCGGATGACTTGTGATTATTAAGGGGGCTGGGGTTAGGATACGGTTAGGTTATAGTAAGTGATATAAGCAGATTGCAGACTGGGGTATTTGTGTTGAGAGAAATATACAGTTTATGTGTGTCGTCATGGATTTGTACACATATTGTGACATGATCGAGCAAATAATAAATAGATGGAAGGAAAAAAGACTGTATTTTTTCATGTGAGATGTGTGGGTATCTGTAAATGTATGTGAAAGTAAAAAAAAAAAAAAAGAGTTGTGCGTGTGTGCAGCGTTGATAAGCAACAATGAAAAGGAGTGAATAGATGAGAAGGAGATGGCATATATAGGGTAGTATGTGAAGTAGACAAATAAATAATGACATGAACAGCAGTGTTAACTTTATCAGTTATAAACGAGGTTATTTCCATAAAAGGTCATTCTTATACAATCGGAAACTTCTATACAGGATCACTCATGTAACTGTAATATTTAAATCGTCGCACCCAAGCAATATCAGACATTTTTTACCCACACAAACTTGCTCGTTCACCTCTCCTCACATTAGCATCATCACGGCATCTTATAGACTTAAAGTACGCCTAGAACTCATATTAATATCAGCAAAAGACACTTTGATTGGTTGGAACGTTGCAGGACGGTGACCGATAGAGTTATCATGCATCCAATATTAAGCACGAATACGTAATAAACATGACATGATACTGCAGGCAACCACGGGCGTACAGTGAAAAAGAGAAAAAAGAAAAAAGGGAAAAAAAAAAGAAGAATACAACTGATAAAGCAATAAAGGATTTGTTGCAAACAATCCTATCCATAAACAGGTTACTTACACAACGGCAATGATTTCCTTTGTTGATGAATAACGATAGTGAATGTGCCAAGAAATTATTATTGGACAATTATTATTTACGAATACTTTGTCGGTAATTATATTAGTGTCGCTTGTATTGTATTTCTTACAGACTTGCGCTATTCCCAAACTTTGACTTAATTTTAGCACTCGGCACTTTCACGAAATTATAATTAGCACGCTGAACTGATAAAAACGATAATGATACATAAACATTAGGCTTACAGATTGTACACAACATATCGCACGAGTTATATTTGGCAACACATTGACGTTCTCACGCTAGCGCATCAATGTTCCCATAGAAAATTCCGAAATGTTTGAACCTAGTACATTTATTTATACTATTGAATACGAAACCTACAACCCATCACAACAGCCGAGACAACCTGTACAGAACAACACAACACAACACAACACAAGCACAGTACAGCACAACACACAGCACAGTACAGCACAACACACACACCACACAACAACTACACAACGACTACAACTACAATAACCACAACAACCACAACCACACAACAATAACAACATGACAAACAACACAACAACCACAACCACATAACAATAACAACATTACTACTGTTGTAAAGACCACCACAACGCCACAACAACAGCAGCAGCAGCAACATTAAAAAACAAGTCCGAAATATCGTCTCAGTTATTCAATCTACTTAATTTGGACATATAATGACGCAGTAAATAGATAAGACGTGCATACCAAACAAGTATCAAACTGGTATCAATCCCTGACAGTTCTATGGTGATTAACGAACAATGAATTAATGAAGGGGTAATTTATTAATTACCGCACATAAAATATATAGTTAATAAACCATGCGTAACACAGCTCTGTGATTATGACATTATATTCAACAAATGAACAATCATCACAAGAGATATAATCTATCTTGCTAAACCATAAACGAACGCATAACCCTTTCACCAGACCATCAGACCAAAATCAACTTAATTATTTGCTGCACAATTTATAAAGTTTGCATGTTACTTGTGGTAAATCAGAGTGTGTAAGCAGATTGCAATCTACT